GGCGGCGGCGGGGGGGAGAGTCCTTGGCGCAGCGCGGAGGAGCAGGCGGCCATGGAGAGCCTGGCCGGCTACGTCTACAAGGCGGCCAGCGAGGGGCGGGTGCTGACCCTGGCCGCCCTCCTCCTCAACCGCTCCGAGGCCGACATCCGCTACCTGCTCAACTTCGTCACCCACCAGGGCGGGCAGCGCTCCACCCCGCTCATCATCGCCGCCCGCAACGGCCACGCCAAGGTCGTCCGCCTCCTCCTCGAGCACTACCGCGTCCAGACCCAGCAGACCGGCACCGTCCGCTTCGACGGGTACGTACCAGGCCACCACCAACACCACCCCACCCCCCGGGAGCTGCCCGGCTTGGGCACCGACGGGCAGAGGAGAGGAGCCCCGGGCACGGCGGGGGGGGGACAATGTTCCCTCTGAACTGTGGAGTCTTGTGAGCAAAAATTCCAATTTGTGAGCTGCTGGCATTAAAGTTGTGAGTGGGCAATTTGGCTGCTGCATACATTAGTCTGCTCTGGAGCCCTCCTTCCCGAGCGAAGACAAAAATGCATGAGCCGGAGGCTAAAAAACTGTGAGCTAGCTCACACTAACTCAGCTTAGAGGGAACACTGGTGCCAAAAACCCCTGCCCACCCCGGATGCGTACATTCAAGGTAGTGGTGTGAGCGGTGCACGGTAGGTATGTCTGTGCCTCGGTTCGACCTGGGCTCTCTAAGTGATATCTTTCCAGAATCATGGAACCGGACAGGAACCCAGAAACCCTCTGGTCGAGCCAGCGGCTGTGAGGCGGCAGCACCGTTCACCCAGGGCCTCCCCCCCCTGCACATCCGTGTACGTGGCATGACCAGGCTGAATGGCGGCCAAAGAACCAAGTATCTTCAGATGACGTGACCCAAGGGTGTCATAAGAACATCAGAGATGCCAATGTTGGATCAGGCCAAAGGCCCATCCAGTCCAACACTCTGTGTCACACAGTGGCCAGAAATACCAGGGGCCATCAGGAGGTCCAGCAGTGGGGCCAGGACATTAGAAGCCCCCTCCCACTGGTGCCCCCCTTCCCAAGCACCAAGAAGACAGAGCATCCCTTGCCCCAGAGTCCCTATCTATACCTTGTGGCTAATAGCCACTGATGGACCTCTGCACCTGCCAATAGGCTGCAGGAGAAAGCACCCGAAGGGATTCCATCTCACGCCACTCTCCGGCATACATCTGTTCCCCTGGAGGGTTTTTCGGTCACCTAGTTTTCAAATGTATTCTCACAGCGATGAGGGATGGGAGATGTTTATTTCTCCAAGGTGTGAGGTGAGAGTCTGCTGGCAAGTCTGTAAAATGTGTTTCTCATAGGGAGAAACAACAGAACACATTTTTATAGTAGAAAAGAGCCAGAGTCCAGGAGCACCCTAAAGACTAACAAAATTTGTGGCAGGGGAGGAGCTTGCGTGAGTCACGGCTCACTTCCTCAGCTACAGCTAGAATGGGATTCCATCTCTCCTAAATCCAATCGCACCTGCAATTATCGCTTGGTAATGTCATTCGGTATCTCTGGAATCACTCCTCTTTCCAATAAATAGGACAGATGGACTTTCATTCTATCTGTATCTGAAGAAGTGAGCTGTGATTCATGAAAGCTCATACCCTGCTGCCAATTTTGTTAGATTTTAAGGTGCTTCTGGATTCTGACTCTTTTCTGCTGCTACACACAGACTGATGTGGCTACCCATCTTGATCTATCTCCATGGAAGGCACGTTTTTACAGTAAGAGTAGTTCAGCAGTAGAATTGGCTGCCTAGGGAGGTGGCGAGCTCCCCCTCACTGGCTGTCTTCAAGCAGTGGCTAGACAAAGACCTGTCAGAGATACTGTAGGCTTATCCAGCATTGAGCAGGAAGTTGGACTAGATGGCCCGTATGGCCCCTTCTAACTCTATGATTTGAGGATCAGGTTTGTCAGATGCTCCCCCTGGGATCATTTGCAATCATGATCACGTTGAATTCGTTATGTGAAGAGAAGAGAAGAGATTGGATTTATACCCCGCCCTTCACTCAGAGTCTCAGAGCGATTTACAAACTCCTTTCCCTTCCCCTCCCCACAACAGACACCCTGTGAGGTAGCTGGGGCTGAGAGAGCTCTTTCGAGGACTGCCCTTTCAAGGACAGCTCTTGTCAGAACTACGGCTTGCCCAAGGCCATCCAGCCAGGTGCAAGTGGAGGCGAGGGGAATCAAACCTGGTTCTCCCAGATTAAAGTTCGCGCAGTTAGCCACTACACCAAATTGGCATCAATCATCTCAGTTCTAAAAAGCAAGGGAACAAAAATCTGGAGCCTTTCAGAAAAAATGAACTGGAGGTCTCGACCAACTTATTTCTGTTAGGTTTGGGCTCCCTCTGGCTGCTTTCCCAGCCATGGCAGTGCAGTTAATTGGGGGTCTTGTTTCACTTTTTCCCTTCCAAAGGCTCAGGACAGCTTAAGAACCGTTCTGGAGTTCTTCGCTTAGCCTTCTTCATCTAGCTTTTAAGCTTGGCAAGTGGACTCAAATGCTCAGAAGTTTCCATCTGCATTTCCTCGCTGTCACAGGGTCCTGGTTGTTGAGGGGTTTTTGCCCGATGTCGCTGACAATTTCTTTCTGTGACATCGTTGATAAGCTGAGTTGCTGGGTGCTGGGGCTCATAACCATCCAGGAGGGTACACGGTCTGTCCAACTGAGCAGCCAGTTCTCCCAGTTTCTCTGTTCAATGGATTACTAGGTATAATATTCAGGTTCTGTTTAATATCGACAGGAGAGTCTGGTTGGATGGGGCATGAGGGCATGAAGTTGTCCAGGGTGGTGAAAAGGAGGTGGTGAAAAGCAGGGAGGATTGTGAGGCACTCCAAAGGGATCTGTCGAGGTTTTGTGAGTGGGCATCAACATGGCAAATAGGGTTCAGTGTGGCCAAGTGCAAAATGATGCACATTGGAGCCAAAAATCCTAAGTATAAATACACATTGATGGGGTCAGAACTGGTGCTTGGGGGGGGGGGCAACAGTGGGAGGTCTTCTAGTGTCCTGGCCTCATTGCTGGACCTCCTGATGGCCCCTGGTATTTTTGGCCACCGTGTGACACAGAGTGTTGGACTGGATGGGCCATTGGCCTGATCCGGCATTGGCTTCTCTTATGTTCTTATGAGGGCAAATCTTCTGTGTTTAATTCCAAAAGAGTTCTGAAGTTTTACATAGGAAGTATTTCCATTGGAGCTGATCACACAGCATAGAATATCTCGGTCAAAGATGAGAAGCAAGCGGTCCCGTTCTCTTAAAACTGCCTGTGGAGGATGGGTGGGGTTCTCCTAGCTGTACTCCAGCAGCTCGGGAGTTTCTGTTCTTGGGTGAGAAAGTTGTTGATGGTCATGGCGTGCTCAGCCTGTCGCATGGACCGAAATAGAACTTTTGTGGGCAAATACCTCTCAAGTGAGGTGCGCCGAATACCTCATTGGATTTTCAGAGTTGACCCTAAAATGTAAGTGTGCTGGTGCCCCCCCACCCCAAGTATGCATCACTTGTTGGTTTTAGACAGTTAAGGAGAGGCTGGAAGGTGTCGTGAGACCTCACCTTGGTGTTTGGGTCAGCAGGGAAGGCTCTAGAACCTCCCTTTCCCAGCTGCTGCAGGTCTTAAAAGTAGCCGCGGGCAGAGAAGTGGAAATTCTGAGGAGGCGGAATAACCGGAGCCAGGCTTCTGCTGGCTTGTTCTCTTTCAGTCACCTTAAAACTGATGCGTTCCATCAAGGACTCCTTCTAAACATGACTCTTAAAGCTTTTAATTTTCTGCTCAGTGTGTAAGAAGAGCTTTATGGACAGGTCTGTGTAGTTCTTCTCCCAGCCCCAGAACGGGGTGAAAACAGTACAGCCTGACGGAATGCCAGGCAGCTCCTTGCATTGACCCAAGAGGCCCTGTAGGTGGGACGGGTATCACAAGAGACTGGATAAACATTGGTGGGGGGTGACTGTGGTGGGAACTTTTCGAGAGGCTGTTGGTTTGGGAAGGTTGGAGGGCATCCCCCCCCCCATTGTGCTGCAGGTGGGTGGGGTAGGAGTGACAGTCGCCTTCCTTTTCCGTACTTTTTGTATACACACGTTTTCAAACCATGACGAGAGTTTCTCCAGATTTCTTGTGTCCGAGAGAGAGAGAGAGAAACTGGGAAGTCACAGTAGCTTCCTGGCACCTGTATTTTCTGCCAAAGTTGCAGAATTGGATTGTGCTGCATTGGGTCCTGCTCCGCCAATCTAAAGACCCTTGAGAGGGTTCAATCTAAATTTCTTAGATCTCTATTTGGCGTTCCTAGAAGCGCTTCTAATATAACACTTATTCAAGAGGCCCGGCTACTCAGAGTTGAAGCAAAGGTCTGGGAGCAGGCTGTAACACTCTGGCTAAAAATTCACTACAACCCTTCGGGCTTTTAGCCTCGGACCGTTACCCTGCCTGGTCCACACAAATTCTTAATAAGTTAAATCAGATTGGCCTATTCCCAGAAGATCTCTTCTATGGAAGCCTATACAAAGCAAGAACAGCTGTCGCGCAGAGGCTTCGTGATATTGAATTACAAAATGAAGAAGCTCCGCTACCCAAGAACTTCAGAAATATAAAATCTTGGCCTGATTTTACTGCTGCCCCTTATTTAGCTAACATTACCTATGAGCCCTGTAGATGGGCCTTTTCCAGAGCCCGTTTTGAGGCACTCCCTTCCACTGTACTGCAAGGTAAATTCACTCGAGTCCCAGTGCATGAACGTAGATGCCCATGCATGGCTACTATGGTGGAATCAGTTACTCCTGTCCTCCTGTTCTGCAGATTCTATCAGGAGGAACGAGACCATCTTATACTACCCCTTCTGTCTAGATTTAGCCCTCTGCAGTCTTATCTTGACTTTAGGCCAGAAGTCCTTTGTAAATTCCTCTTAGAAGACGTTCAGAGCTCAGCGACTTACGCTGTGGCAACATTTTTTTGCTTAGCTATTAGGAAACGTAAACCTATTTGTTTACACACCTGCTTTGTAAACTTGCTAGACCTTGTGCTTACAGTGTACCTCTCTAACATGCAAAGTGCCCCCTTCCCCTGCTGAGATGAGACCGTGGCCTATTTTGAAATGATTTCCCTTATCCCTGTTTTAACGCGCCCCGTCTTTCCCTTTTCCCTTAGGTACGTCATCGATGGTGCCACCGCACTGTGGTGCGCGGCCGGGGCTGGCCACTTCGAAGTCGTCAAGCTCCTGGTGAGCCACGGGGCGAACGTCAACCACACGACGGTGACCAACTCGACACCGCTGCGTGCCGCGTGCTTCGACGGGCGGCTCGACATCGTCAAGTACCTGGTGGAGAACCATGCCAATATCAGCATCGCCAACAAGTACGACAACACTTGCCTTATGATCGCGGCCTACAAGGGCCACGTGGACGTGGTGCGCTACCTGCTGGAGCGGCATGCCGACCCCAATGCCAAAGCACACTGCGGTGCAACAGCTTTGCACTTTGCGGCGGAGGCCGGCCACCTGGAGATTGTCCGCGAGCTGGTGAAGTGGAAGTCTGCCATGATGGTGAACGGCCACGGCATGACGCCTTTAAAAGTGGCCGCGGAGAGCTGCAAGGCTGACGTCGTGGAACTGCTGCTGGCGCATGCCGACTGCGACCGCAAGAGCCGGATTGAAGCACTGGAGCTCTTGGGTGCCTCGTTCGCCAACGACCGGGAAAATTACGATATAATGAAGACCTATCACTATTTATATTTAGCCATGCTCGAGCGGTACAGGGACAGCGAGAACATAATCGAGAAGGATATCCTGCCTCAGATAGAAGCCTACGGCAGCAGGACTGAATGCCGGACTCCTCAGGAACTGGAAGCCATACGGCAGGACCGAGACGCCCTACACATGGAGGGCCTCATTGTCCGAGAGCGGATTTTGGGTTCGGACAATATCGACGTCTCGCACCCCATTATTTACCGCGGCGCCGTTTATGCGGATAACATGCAATTTGAGCAGTGTATCAAACTCTGGCTTCACGCCTTGCACCTGCGGCAGAAAGGCAATAGGAATACCCACAAGGATCTCCTCCGTTTCGCCCAGGTCTTCTCTCAGATGATACACTTGAACGAGCCGGTGAAAGCCAAGGACATTGAGAGCGTCTTGCGGTGCAGCGTCTTGGAGATAGAGCAAGGGATGGCCCGGGTCAAAAGCGCTCAGGATTCTGAGCTCCACACAGCCATGGACAACTACGAATGCAATATCTTCACCTTCCTGTACCTGGTGTGCATCTCCTCCAAGACCCAGTGCCGGGACGAAGAGCAGGCGCGGATCAACAAGCAGATTTATAACCTGATCCACCTGGACCCGAGGACGCGGGACGGGTCCAGCTTGCTGCACCACGCCGTCAACTCCGGCACGCCGGTGGACGACTTCCACACCAACGACGTCTGCAGCTTCCCCAACGCCCTCGTCACCAAGCTCCTCTTGGACTGCGGCGCCAACGTCAACGCCGTGGACCACGAAGGGAACACCCCCCTGCACCTCATTGTCCAGTACAACAGGCCCATCAGCGACTTTTTGACGCTGCACTCCATCATCATCAGCCTGGTGGAGGCGGGCGCTCACACGGACATGACGAACAAGCAGAAGAAGACGCCTCTGGACAAAAGCACCACCGGGGTGTCCGAGATACTCCTGAAAACTCAGATGAAGCTGAGCCTGAAGTGCCTGGCTGCTCGAGCAGTGAGGGTGCACCACATCGGTTATCACAACCAGATCCCCAAAACGCTGGAAGAGTTTGTAGAATTCCACTAGGCCACCCCCTCGATGGAGGTGCCCCCCCCCGTGCCCTGGCGAAGGGTCAGACTCGAGTCAATAAACACCAGGCAGAGCTTTTTGAATTCCCTTTTCCTCCTCCCTTCTTTCATCTACACTTGGTACGGCAGCACACTGTCTGTCTCTCTCACACACACACGCTTGTGTGTCTGTCTCACAAGTAGGCCCCCTTGCTTTAATTTGGAAGCCCGTCACCTGGTTTCCAAGAATCCCATTTGGCAGACTCCAGAATGGGTGCAAAATGTTTTGATCCTGTGATGCGCCCGGGTTTTTCCTATTGACAGCTGAGAATGCCTTTGAGGCGCTACCTGCAAAGAAGTTCGTGTTTGACTGACTGAACCGGCATGTTACCTATGCAGCAGTGGGGGGAACTGAGAGGGAGGCGGGGAGGGAGGGAGGGAGGAATGAAAACAGAATTCAGGAGGATCTTTTATTGCTGGGATCCCACCACACCGTGCAAAGCAGCCCAGGGAAACGTATTCCTCACCAGCCTACTTTTAATGCCTTTCTGTTCCCACTGAAATTGTCAGTACATTTTTTTTTAAAATAATAATTTCTGTTTGAAATGAAAGTCATGCTGATCACTTCCTACAGACAGAGGAAAATGCTGGACATAGCTCAGGTGTGTGAATGGGTTCATTCAACTGTATTGGGTGTTGGGGGGGAAAACAGGCATACCTGCTCTCTTTTTATTTAAGTTGCTTTTTTCAAAGGGTTGGGCACGGATGCCTCGGTCAGTGTTCTGGAGAAGGCGATGCATTTTGATTAACGCCAAGTCCGAAACCCACATCTGAAACGTTACCTGCTGTGTTTTCCTGGTGTCTTCCAATCAGTTGCTCTACAAGGATCTTTTTGAAGGGTGAGACCATCCCTTTTAGATATCTAATGTTAAGCCAGTGGCAGGGAAGGCTCAGGGAGGAAGAAAGAGCTGGGTTTTTTGCAGCACTCAGACCCCAAGAATAGATTTTCACCTCATTCCTTTTCATTATGGAATTTTGCAGGAAAATTGGTCTTCCCGCGCGCGCCCCCCTTCATCACAACAAAGCCGCAATCATCTTCTGTGAAGGTTGATTTGTTTTTTTAAAAAATCATTATCGGTACCGTGACTGAAGAATGTTTGTGGCCTGTGAGCAGCACCTCTCCTTGCCAGAAACTTCAGCAGCTGAATGTCAAATTTTGATAGGCTACAAAAATTGCGCTCCCCCCCTCCCCCACTTTGGACGCCACTTTTTAATTGTCAAGACGGAGGAAGAATGTCCCGCAGTCCTATTTTTGAAAACAGATCAGAGAGTTCTAAAAAAAAAAGGATGTTCTGTTCACACAGACACGTTTGTATTACAAATAAAAACCTTGAATGTGAACTTAGCCCACTTCTGATTTCCTTGCGCTGCCCAAGCATTTCCTTGCTGTCCTCCGTGGCTGTCTGCACGGGGCCGAATGGTGGCGTGAGAACCGACATCATGCCATTGCATTTTATTTTTGACCTTGCTAGTGTGACATTGAAGCAAGAGACACCTACGAAATGTCCCTGATGAGCCTTGAACTGTCGTGTGAACAACAGCCACGTCATTCAGCCAAACCAAACTCGCCCTTCCATACCGGGGCCCTGAATGAAGCAGATGAGGTGAATTCAATGCATGATTTGGGATGTGGAAACACTGGCTTTGTTCTGAGGTGGTAAACGAAAGCGGGCAAGTGTCGTGGCCTCCAGAATTAGTTTGGATTCATATTTATGATCTGATTTTAGTTCACAGGTGCCAGAAAGAACATTAGACAGGCCCTGCTGGGTTGGACCAGTGGGCCATCTAGTCCAGCATGGTCTTTCACGCAGGAGTGAACCAGTTATCCTGGAGGGTTGGCAGACAGGGCACGGAGGCCAAGGCCTTCCCCTGATGTTGCCTCTTAGCACTTGGCTTCAGAGGTTGACTGCCTCTGGACATGGGGGTTCCCTTTACTCACTATAGCCAAGTTGCCATTTAGGGACCTCCACTCCACGGCCTCCACAGGCAGTGAATTATTTGCTGAATTAAAAAGTATTCCGTTTGTCCTGTACCTGTTGCCAATCAACTTCATTGGGTGCCTCCCCCTACCCCGAGTTCTGGAAGAAGAAGAAATTGGATCAGCCGCCCTGAGCTCGTGTAGCAGGGAGGGCGGGGTATAAATCGAAACAAACAAATAAATAATAAATAAATAAATACCCCGCCCTTCACTCGGAGTATCAGAGTGGCTCACAATCTCCTTTCCCTTCCCCTCCCCACAACAGACACCCTGGGAGGTAGGTGGGGCTGAGAGAACTCTGATACAAACTGCTTTTTCCCCCAAGAACAGCTCTGCCAGAACTGTGGCTTGCCCAAGGCCATCCAGCAGCTGTGAATGGAGGAGTGGGGGATCAAACCTGGTTCTCCCAGATTAGAGTCCGCGCAATTAACCACTGCACCAAACTGGCTCTCTAGAATTATGGGCGAGAGATAGTCCCCACTGTCCACGTACCTCAGCCTCACTTGATGGGCATTGGACTGCTGTGGATTAGGAGGAGGAGATTGGATTTATACCCCGCCCTTCACTCAGAGTCTCAGAGTGGCTGACAATCTCCTTTCCCTTCCCCTCCCCACCACAGACACCCTGGGAGGTAGGTGGGGCTGAGAGAGCTCTGACAGAAACTGCTCTTTTTCAAGGACAGCTCTTATCAGAACTATAGCTTGCCCAAGGTCATCTAGCCAGGTGCATGTGGAGGAGTGGGGAATCAAACCCGGTTCTCCCAGATTAGAGTCCGCACACTTAACCACTACACCAAACTGGCCCCCAGTCCCATGTCCTCAGTGTGCAATGGGAGACTCCGGAGGAGTGCCCTAGTGGCCACATGTCCCACTAGGCTGTGGGGCAGGAAGAAACTGGCGCAGACAGAGGATTCAAGGGAAGGCGAGGGGAACCACAATCGGCAGCTAGCAAGTAGAAGAGAAGAAGAGATTGGATTCATACCCTGCCCTTCACAACCCAAAGGTGTCTCAGAGCGGCTTACAAACTTCCCAAGGTCATCCAGCAGGTGCAAGTGGAGGAGGGGGGGAATCAAACCCGGTTCTCCCAGATTAGAGTCTGTGCACTTCATCACTACACCAAACTGGCCCCGTGGCCAGGGTGGTTCTTTCCCCATCCTGAAAAGGAGCTCCGACTACCTCGAGAAGAACGGGGCTTTTTGATGCCAGCTCAGGGGGTCTAGTTGACGGCGGGAGTTATTTCAAGATGGCTGCTGGGCTCCTCACAGGTTTGCCAGGCGGTGGGGTAGGGTGCCAACCTCCAGATGGGGCCTGGCAATGTCCCAGAATTACCAATAACTCCCCCCCCCCCCCCCCCGCCCCCAAAATCCCGGCTACAGAGAACGATTCCCTTGGAAGAAGGAGCCGCTCTAGAGGGCAGACTCTGGTATGTGGCATTGCGGGCCTGCTGAGCTTCACTGGACTTCACCACTCCGACTCTCCAGGAATTTCCCAAACCCCCTGTTGGCAACTCTAGGGTGGGGGAAGGCTTGGTTGCCCCTTGAGGTCATTGTGTCTGTCTTTGGCAGTGCTGAGCAGCGGTATCCGCAAGGGCCAGAAAGTTCCATAAAACCGCTGGCTAAAGAGGGACAAGTGATGCATTCTTGTGGCGCATTTGATGCAGTTTAGCCCCAAACCAGAAATATAGGAAAAGGAAGTTATCCCCTACGGAACGCCACAATGCAAGTCTCTGGCGTGGGCTCAGCTGGCACTGGATGCTCTTATGATACCCAGAAATTGCCTGTCTTGTCCATCCAGGAGAAGAAGAGATTGGATTTATACCCCCGCCCTTCACTCGGCGTCTCAGAGCAGCTTACAATCTCGTTTCCCTTCCCCTCCCCACAACAGACACCCTGGGAAGGAGAGCTCTGGCAGAAACTGCTCTTTTTCAAGAACAGCCCTGAGAGAGTCCAAGGTCACACCAGCAGCTGCAAGTGGCGGCGTGGGGAATCAAACCCGTTTCCCCCGGATTAGAGTCCACACACTTAACCCCTACACCAGACTTGCACACTTAACCACTACACCAAACTGGCTCCAGATCTGGGCAGGGGGCATGGCCCTTTGTCCAAACGGTTGCGGGGCTAAGCTCTGGGCAACCGCAAGGGTTCTCACCAAATGAGAGAAGCGAGATTCTGAATCCCTTTTAGAGTGGCCTAGGGCAGGGGCTCATGACTCCCGCCGACACCTTTTCTAGACCCTGCCGAGGGCTTTCAGGAAGCGAGTGTGGCCGGGTTGGGCTTTTGTGCAACGAGCCTTCTGGGCGACTATCGGAGATCTGACTGGCGGTGCAGATTTCTTGGAACGTTGCTTTGGCAGCAGCTGCCAGCATGGCACGAGAGCTACATTGTGCTTCTGAAGTTAGGGTGCGGCAGCCATTTTGTGGCTGTCTCCGCCTCCTGCAGCAGCCATTTTGTGGCTGTCTCCGCCTCCTGCGGCAGCCATTTTGTGGCTGCGCCCACTGTGCCCTGTCAGAGTTCCAGATACGCCCATAGGCCCAAAAAAGGAGGGGGGGAGCCCTGGTTTAGAGTACGGAGACCACGCCAAGCTTTCCATTTAATTTTTTTTTATGTCATAACCCTCCCCCATACAGTAATTTACATATATTGCATTTGGCTGGATAGATTCTCCCTCCCCCCCCCCAAATTATTTTCAGTCATTAAAATTAATAGCATAAATACCCATTATTATGCGAAAAGGGGAAAAACGGGTCACATTAAAACCGTTCCATCATACAAAAGTATATACACATTATACACGGGTGTTTTTTTTTCCTGTCGTCTTTTTTGGAAATTGCACAGGCTCTGGGAAAAGGCTTCAGACTGGTTTCGTTTCGTTTGTTTGTTTGTTTTAAAAAGAAATCTTTTCACCTTTAAAAATAAGAAAGGTAAACATTTTCAAAATAATTATATACAGCTGAGGATTGAAGGCTTTTGCGGTAAGGTGCTTACAAAGGTCTGTGTCGGAGTTCAGTGCATAAAACGTCTTGATCTTCAACGGCTTTGTTTGGGACCGGCCTCCCCAACGTGGCGCCCGGGGGGCACCAGCTCTGACGCCTTTCCCGGCACCTGCGGAGTGCTTTCAGAAAGTGGGTGGGGCTTCCGATTGGCCACTGGAGATTTGATTGGCTGCCGCCACAACACCATGATCTATACTGTGCGACTGAACGTATGCTGTGGCAGCTGTTGTATGGCCGGTGCCTCCGGTGGCAGCTATGCTGTGTCAGAAGTCCAAAGGTATCCACAGGCTCAAAAAAGGTTGGGGAGTCCCAATGTTCCCTCTAAGCTGTGGAGTCTTGTGAGCAAAAATTCTACTTTGTGAGCTACTGGCATTAAAGGTGTGAGCGAACAATTTGGCTACTGCATAAATCAGTTTGCTCTGGAGCCACATCCTTCCTGAGCGAAGACAAAAAACGGTGAGCTGGAGGCTAAAAAAATGTGAGCTAGCTCACACTAACTCAGCTTAGAGGGAACACTGTTGGGGACCCCCGGTTTAGAAAACGGGAGAGGCAGGAAGGGGTGTGGATGTTTGGCATCCAAGAGACTGGGGGTGCATTGCTGCCTCGGCTCCTTTGGAATAAGTGGGAGCCCCGATTTTGTTTCAAAGGGCAGGGGACAGGAGAAAGTATGGTGTATATCGTACCTTTGCTTGGGCCCTCTCTGACAGACCAGCTTGGCAGTGATGCTGCTGAGACTTTGTTTGCTGGTAAGCACAGTCCTTGGTCCTTATCAAACTTCCTTCTGCCAATGGACCAAGTTGATTCATCACCCCTCTTAGCACATTTCCTAACCTCCAGTGAATCCCTCCTGTTGCCCAAGCATCAACTCTCTGCAGACCAATGTTCCCTCTAAGCTGTGGAGTCTTGTGAGCAAAAATTCTGCTTTGTGAGCGGCTGGCATTAAAGTTGTGAGCAAGCGATTTGGCTACTGCATAAATTAGTTTGCTCTAGAGCCATCCTTCCTGAGCGAAGGCAAAAATGTGTGAGCTGGAAGCTAAAAAAACTGTGAGCTAACTCACACCAACTCAGCTTAGAGGGAACTCTGCTGCAGCCACCTTTCGGCCAGAGCCTCACATTCCCAAATCACTGGACTGCTGCCCCGCTTCAGAAATGTGATTCCCTTTGACTGAAGGCATGCCGCATGGACACCTCAATTCCGGGAAGGCCCACGTGTACAAAATATCCCAATGTGCCTCTTTCTTCCTTGATACCTTGGAGAGACGTAAAAAAAGAGAGGAGACCCTGAAGACTTGGTCGACGTTGGCTGCTACAACTGCTGGGGGAAACCCCACGGATGCAAGTTTTCCTCCTCTTTCTGGATGCACAATTTCCCCCAGTGAGGATGCGAGCGGAAAGCGGGTGTCCTCAAACACAAGGGGCGATTGTGTTGTAGGAAGGCAGAGCAGACCGTGGCCAGAAGTTTGACGATCACCCAGAACTCCTGCGGTGTAACACAGGTCTGCCTTGTACAGCCGGCATTGGCTTTTTGCTGCTACTGTTGGGGAAAGAAACATCGAGGATCTTCCCGACCCCGTTAATTGACCCTCCCTGCCAATGTCTGTAGGCAGACGGAAGCAGTTAAAACTAGTTTGAAGGTAACTTTAGCTGGCTGTGTCTTTCTGTGGCCAGTGGCCCCTTGGGGTCAGTTCGGTTGCAATGCAAATGGAGGCCTTCGCCCCAGTCCCATCTTGGCTGTGAGGAGTAACAGATCTTCGTTCCTGCCTCCCGGGGAACTGGAGGCCTTAGTCCAAGTCTTTGGAGTTCTGCTGTTGTGCTGGGTCTCTCTTGCGACTGGCGCTTTTGAAAAAGCCGAGCTGTGGGAATAGAATGGGGAGGGGGGGAAGTCCCGTGGTTATTTCAAAGGCTTCTGTTACTAGAGCTCAAAGGCCCACTGAGAGAGGTTGCTGTTCTTCCTCATGACTGGGACAGGCCTGTTTTGCCGACCGAGTTTTGAAAGACTAATCTGCCATTGGGATAGGTCAAGATGGGTGGCCATGTTAGAGCAAAGAGTCCAGGAGCACCTTAAAGACTCACAAAATTTGGGGCCGGTTAGGAGCTTTCATAGGGGTCGTGGGGGCTTAGAGGTTAAGACACTGAGCTGCAGATCAGAAAGTCTGTAGATCAGCGGTTCGAGACCCGAGTGCCGCGTGACGGAGTGAGCTCCCCTCTCTGGCCCCAGCTCCTGCCAACCTAGCCGCGAAAGCAAGAAATCGCAAGTAGATAAACAGGTACTGCTTCGGTGGGAAGGTAACAGCATTCCGTGCGCCTCGGCGTTAAGTCACGCCGGCCACATGACCACGGAAATGTCTTCGGACAGCGCTGGCTCTTCGGCTTGGAAACGGAGATGAGCAACGCCCCCCCCAGAGTCAGATTCGACTAGCACTCGAGCAAGAGAAACCTTTACCTTTACTAGGAGCTTCCATGAATCACTGCTTACTTCTTCAGTAGAAAAGAGCAAGAGTCCCAGAGCACCTTCAAGACTAACAAAATTTGGGGCAGGGGAGGAGCTTTTGTGAGTCACTGCAGTCCCGTCTTCAGATACCTGAAGAAGCGAGCAGTGACTCATGCAAGCTCCTC